TTTCAAAAATAGTACCGGACGCTGTTCCTCTTGTGACGTCATAGCTCCGTGACCTGACCTGACCCGGTCAAATTTCTTATACCATATGATAGCCAATACCTTGCCCCAACATGCATAGGAAGTTTCATCACGATCCATCAACCGATGTCCGTACCACCGGCAGGAAACCTCGGGCGTTGGCACTCAGTTTGTGAAAATCCGGCCGGAGGCTGTACCTCTTATGACGTCATAACTCCGTGACCTGACATGACCCGATCAATTTTTTTTCGGCAAAAGATGCGCAAAGGTTGCCCCAAGGGTATTGAAAATTTCAGCCCGCTACGACAAGCCGTTTAGCGTGCACTTCGAAAAAACCTCAGGGGGGGGTTGATACAACCCCCCCCCCCCTAGGCGTTCTAGGGTTAACATTTTTGGACGGAAAATCAACGAAAATGTCGGACATTAGACGGATATTAGACGCGAATTTTCTAAAACTGGCATCACTTATCTGCTACTGCTTTGGGTCGAAAATATTGGCAAAAAAACTGGGAGCGTTGTTTTTTTCGGAGCTATCCCTATCTTCATTGAAATTCTCACACTAGGTATGTTCAAATTACCCCACGCTAAAAGTTATTTTGCCATTTTTGAAAACAGGGTTCAAAAAAAATTCTCGATTTGAAGGCACTGATTAGGTCATTGTACAACAAAAGCCGTTGCATATTAGGCGCTAGCAATGCAAGATTTTGCGCTGCAATGAAGTTGCAATGACGTGTTGTTAGGCGTTTTTCCTTGCGAAATTTATTTTTTACACTGTGCCTCATCATCTTCATTCCCTGAAACTTTAAATCCCGTTCATATGATAGCCCTTTTAGTTACGATAATTTCTCTCATGGTCTTATTGTCATGCCACTTATGGATTTTTCCGTCATTTTGTGTTATTCACACTATGTTCAAATTGCCCCACATGTTCAAATTACCCCACCTTACCCTACTTCACTCACAGCTCTTACGGGCTAAGCGGCTAGGTTCAGACAAGCAGGCACGAACGGGGAATGAAGCTCATAGAGACACTTTTCAAACACAACGGGTACCCAAACAAACTGATTCAAAGAACCAAACACAAAATCATGCACCACACACAGAAAAGTAGGTAACAAACGTGACAACGCTGGGCGCAACAAAAACAAAAATGACACGACCTACATATCACTCCCATACATAGACGAAACACTTGCGCGTCGAGTGAACGGTGCGGTGCGCTCGTGTGGTCTGAATGCACGGGTTGCATGGGTCAGCGGGAATACAGTGTCTAAACACATGATCAGGTCAAGTCTTGAAAGTCCTCCCTGCCCTGCTGGAGCCAAAAGATGCCACACGTGCGAGGCGGGGCTCCGTGGTCGTTGTCATACAAAAAATGTGGTCTACAAAATCACATGTAACCTGTGCGATGAACACCCCGCGGTGTACATCAGCGAGTCAAAAAGACTTGTCCGCGAAAGATATAACGAGCATCTTCGAGATGCTAAAAACCAGACCAAAAACCCCCCTCGGTGACCATGTGACACTGAAACACCTATCTCGTAGTATATCATCGACCTCATTCAAAATTAGTATTGAGAGAGTATGTAAAGATGTAGCTGATTTGAAAATAGCAGAATCTATTGAGATAAGAAACCAAAAACCATGCTTAAACACACATACCTCATCCTGGCCCCTCCTCCATCCCCTCCATATACGCCCACATAAATTCAAATCATTGCAATATATGCCAAGTCACTCTTCTTTTCCGCTCATTTACAATTATTGTCCGTGTAGTATAATAGTTTTCAGCAAGTATATAGAAATAAAATTAAAGTACTCGGCTTTTCCGGACAGTTTCGTGACTGTATTATTGTCACTTCGTCAGCGGCATATGCAAGTATATAAACATTTTCGAAATCACATTTTCAAAACACAAGTAAATAAAGCGCACTCGCTTAAATCTTCACACATTTTCCTTTTGACCCGCTTCCATCCAGACAAATCCACACAACCCTCAGGTCATCCCTATATAGCAAGAATTACTAACAATAATTGCAGCCATTTGCTGTGACATGACATATGTGATACGACATAGTATCAGACCGTTACAAGACAGAGCCGCCAAATGTCACTACTACACCTTACAACTTACATACAGTCACGCCTACGCCAATTTCTTATTGAGCCCGCCTGACCCCTATGCGTATTAAAAAGTCCCACCCATCTCTGTTCCCGTATTCTTCTGTATGTAACCCAATTCCTCCAAACCTTTTCTAGTCCGACAAATTTAGCGTTCGACAAGTGATGGCCCTCACCATTGAAATGCGCCACTGGTAATTGTTGGTATTTGGTTTGGTATCGGTATCACGATTTTCCGTAGTTGACATCACTATGGGGGCGCCACTATGGCCTTCATGAGCGCCCCTCTTTGCATGTGGGCGCCCCTATACTATCATATGCCTAAGAGGCACCCCTAAGGGCCTCAGAGACCAATAGGGTGCCCCTCTTTCGCATGCAGGGGCCCCTATTGCCATCACAGGCGCCCCTCTTTTGCATTGAGGCGCCCCTATGGAGTTCATAGGCGCCCCTCTCTCGCATGTAGGGCCCCCATGGCCTCAGACGTCCCAAGTTCATAGGCGATGGGACGTCTGAGGGATGGCGCTCCTATTGCAGTTTTTTCTCACCACGATCTGTTGAGCGTGGTTACGACCCTGGCCCGTGAGGGCGCCTTTTGGGCCAAGGGGCGCCACCAAAGTTGAGGGGGGGGGGCAAACGGGATGTTGGGGTAGCAAAATTTCAAGTTGGGGGGGGGGGGCAGGTGCCCCCCAAAAGTATACAAAGTTACGCCCCTGCTTGCACACCATGTGTAAAATTAATGACAGAATAGTCATACCAAATTTCTTTTCCGCTATTTGCGAAAAACCTCAGGGGGCGGATAACCGCCCCCCCGTCGGTGCGCGGGTTAACCCGCGCCCGGCTGGGGGTCCTGGATTTCCACGCCCTGCTGGGGGGGGGGGTGTTTGAACACCCCCCCTTCTAACTCGGCTCCTGGGCCACGTAGCGATACGCGGAAGGCGGCGTTCGAAAGAGCGTCAAAAATAATGACGAAATCACTTCGGTCAATTTTTTGGTCAGGTCAAAGGTCAGGTCACAGAGGTCATTGAAGGCAAAATTTCGCCGATTTCAGGTCGAACGTCGATAATTTCCAAGAAGCCAACACATAACTCGGGAACCGATAGAGCTACAGCGCCGCGAAAAAGCGCATTCGATAGCCCTATTAACGCCCTTTCTGAGTAATTCTCTCAGATTTGACCTAACGTCAACGGTTTTGCCTGCAGGGGGCAAAAACTGCGAAAATAGCCGTTTTTTTCGAAAACAGTTTTTCTGCAATAACTTTTGACCCAAGCCTTGTACGAGCTTACTTTTACCGGCATCGTGTTCCTCTCGTCAAGACGCATCGAATGAACTATGATTTGACCTTGAAAGGTCAACTTGAAAATTTGACCTCAGGTCAAGGTCATGACCTGACCGGGAAGGGTCATGTTGCATATCAGTCGATCCGTATCGTCGAGCTGAACACATCTAAGGCGTTTTCAGCGCTCTAGCATGCCTCTATCAAAAGTTATTTGCAAAAAAACTGTTAGATACCATTCGTGACCTAAGATGACCTCAGGGCATAAACAAGGGTCACGGACACCATTTTTAAGTTCAGTGTGTCTAAACCACTTGTAATTCGGTGTTTGGGAGTGTTTATAATGTCTTTCATCCAAAAGAGGCGCATTTCAATTTTCTCCCATTGACTTATAATGGGGAGGTCGCAAAATTGACCTGACCTTAGGTCATCGATATCAAAATTCTGAGATGAACATTTTGTACATGCTATTGCTCTTAGCAATCGCTGAAAGTTTCAAAGCGATCGGTCACTCGGTGTAGCTATGACAGACATTGAAAGTTTTTATGAGGTGAGGTCACTTCAAGTGACCTGGTGACCTGACCTTGAATGACCTTGGTCTGAAATTTTAACAACATGTGTAGAATTGATGTATGATAAGGTGTACCAAAAACGGCGGCGCTCCGCGCCGCCGTTTTTGAGATATTCGCGAAAAACCACAAGGGGGGGGGGGTGTTCAAACACCCCCCCAGCAGGGCGCGGGTTAAAAACAACACAAAACACTACATCTTCCAACCGAAGCAAAATGACTATTTTATCGCATAATCTCTGCTTCATCAGTGAGCACAGGGAATCCGTTCTAAAATGGCAATAAATCCCAGTCATAACCTAAACACAGGCCCGAATTGACTCAAACAATTCGTTCATTCAAAAGGATGGCTTGACTGAAGAGGCTGTCTTGACGTGAGTGCCTCTTTCACCCGGTTAAACCATCCTTTATTTGTATCTGACAACTCGTAAGTCAGCTTTAAGGTTTGAGTTCGAGCCAAGCTTTCTTCGTGACATCCTTTTTATTTTGCTTATCTAGCACGGTAATCGCTGTGCTTACAAGACAGCCCTGTACAGGTATTCTGTTCCGCATGACTGTGCTGTATTGCGGTACAGCATTTCCCCGGCGTTTAGTCAGCTGACTGCGCCCGCTGCCAGCGACCGCCGTCGCTAGCCTTCGACAGCCCTTCGCTGGCGCCGCGCTAGCGGTTCAGACAGACGAATTCACAAAGATAGCATTGAATGCATAGGCGGCGGAACGGGGAGGGCACCCAGGCACCGTGCCCCCTTTGATTTTGGCATTTCAACATTAGTCCTATGCATGGAAAGAATGGGACCAAAAGTCGGCAGTGCCCCCCACCCCTTAATTGAAGGTGTTCCGCCGACCGCCGCTACTGATTGAATGGGACGCAGTGTGGAATGCATACGCTATTCAAAAGCCCTCGAAATCAATGAAAAACGTCGTTTTGTAATTGACAAATGACAAAACCTTAGTTACCACTTTTGGGGGCAGTTAAATCCTAGCAGCGATCTGTTGGCATGACCTGTTCTTTCCTCTGTTGCAGGGTCCGGAGCCAGTGCGAAGATCCGCCTTCTCCCAGGCGAACTGTGATCGGACGCAGCCGTTCCGACCTCAGGACGACACGTGTAGGACTCTGTACAATGCCTTCAGGCGAGGCGCCAAACTGTCCAGTAAGTGGCTAGGGGCGGGGGGGGGGCGGTGAAACAATGAAACACACCGCCATGTGGTAACGAGACTTTAACGAGAGAGAGAGAGAGAGAGAGGAGGGAGAGAGAGAGAGAGAGAGAGAGAGAGAGAGAGAGAGAGAGAGAGAGAGAGACATGTTTTGTTTTTGATGTGCACTTGTGCAATGCAAATGGGTACCTATACGCGGTATATTTTATGTAAGGTAGGCAAGCACTATGCGTTCTCTCTCTCTCTCTCTCTCTCTCTCTCTCTCTCTCTCTCTCTCTCTCTCTCTCTCTCTCTCTCTCTCTCTCTCTCTCTCTCTCTCTCTCTCTCTCTCTCTCTCCCTCCCTTTCCCTCACCACCACTCTTTCTCTTCACCGACTACATTACGGGTAGGTACCTTCCACTTCATTTTGCTCTCATATCTTTCTCTCTCAGTTGACAGTCTCTCCCCTCTTTCTCTGACCCTCTCTCTTCTCTCTCCCTCAGATAATGGCCCCTGTATTGGCTGGAGGGAAGGCACCGGACCGTACCAGTGGCTACACTACAACGAATCACTGCTCCGGGCACGGAACTTCGCAGCGGGACTTATTGCCTCAGGTGAGATATCAGATGTGGAGAACTGGGATATGGCTTGGAGAACTGAGACATGATTTGGAGAAGTGAGGCTCAATAAACTGACTTAAATGAGTGATGAATGAGTGATGAAATAAGTGATAAACTCAAATGAGGACTATTTATCTTATGCATAAATAATATAGATGACTTTTGAATGACAGCGGATGAGCTGAGACAAGATGCGGTTACAGATTGACGTAGTAAAATATGAAGATATTGGCTGTCTCAAGTGATCCATGACATATGTGTATAGACCTTGTTGACGTAATGATAAAATGCGTTCCTCGTGCAAGGTTCCAACGCAAACAAGGGAGACTTCCTTACATAGTCATAGTTTGTGCGACTTGCGACTTTTTCAGTTGACACCTTAACTACTGGAGTACCTATATTTATTCATTCATAATCAACTAGAATGGATACAGCAGGATGGGGGAGCCTTGTTAGGGGGAGGGAGAGGGGCTTATTAGCATCCTAATACACTGATTTAGTTGTGCTTGGTTTTGCATTTTTCGCTTTATTTCAATTCAGATACCTTATTGGGTAATGCATCAATAATTAGGTAACCCTCGCATGTGTAGGGGGGTCGGATGGACCCCCCCCCATGGTTTTTCGCGAATAACTCGCGTAAAAAGCGGCCGATCGCGACGAAACTTTCAGTACCCTCGCATTGATCAATTTTACACCTACCCTGAAAATTGCATGACCCTGACCCAAATGACCTTTGACCTGTGACCACTTTTCCGAGACCATGTTTGGCCGGAATCGCGATTTCGCGTATGTCGGCTCGCATTAGCCGCGCGTTTGCAAGCTTTTCGTGGTTTCAAACGTTCAAACATGTGATTTGATGTTGCTCCCATACATTAGGGTGAGTGTCAAGGTCACCTGAATGTCAGGTCAGGTCATTGACCTTTGGTGACCTCGGGTGACCTCGGTTCACTTTTTCGAGTTTTACATGTTTCTAGGCTAGTTTTTTTAGCTGAATTCGAATTTAGCAGCCATTTGAACATTTGTCATTTACGAAGCAGTTTTGGAGACTTCGTAACATGTTACGAAGCTGTCAGAGGCGGTTGACACGTATGTACTACGAATACCCGTCACGACGCCTACTGGTTGACCTGACCTGACCTGACCCGACCTGGTCTAAATGCTCAAAGACATCATCTGTGATCAAAACTAACACGATATTCGTGATCAGCACCCCGAAAAACCCCTTAGCAGCCACACTTTACGACTTTCTAACAGGTCCCGATTTTCCCGACTATGGGTCATTGACCTGACCTGGAAGGTCAACCAATGACCTAGGACCTTAAAATTGGGTATCATTGCCCATTGGCTTCCTCTCGTCACGGGCAACGCGCTCGTTTTTTTCCGCGAAGCTCTAGCTCGATCAGGGGCCAAACGGCAAGGGGGGGTCCAACCGACCCCCCCCCCTACACATTAGAAGCTGGCAAACGCCGCACACATGCGAGGGTTAATAAAATAAAATTAGATACATAAAAAATCAAATAGAAATTTCACAAGCCATGAGTTATTTTTTGCCTTCGAGAAATCGCCCTTTGATTAACGTTGGTGCACGCCGCGTTGTTGTTGTTTATTTATAATTAAGTTCTGATGGTAACGATGATCGATTAATGTTGATTGTTGCTACGACGCCTCCCCGCGACAGCGATCTCGTGACGGATGACCGTTATTATGTTGTTGTTGAATGACTATCTCTCATCTGGTACCAGTTACCACATATAGCCTGGCATGTTTACCGGGTACCTCAGATAACTATGCCAGGCTATATGTGTCCCTCCCACAAAGACATTTTGTGACCGGGTCACACCCGGTCACCAGGTCTGAGTCAACATTATTACTATATTGATGCTGTTGATAAATATTGTAGCCTCATGTCTGCGCTCCTACATCCTGCCCTCTAGCCCTTTGACTTCCTGACCTCCGGGACTCCCTAAATTGACCCCTGGGACATCTGACACCTCTGACCTCTAACGACTGAGGCACCATAGCACGACCGGTGAACTCTGAGACCTCTGATCACGCATCGACCTGAAGAATCCTGGCCTTCGAGGTTCACTGACCGTCATAAATACCCTGAGACGCTCGACCCGACTCTTTTTTACCCCTTGAACGCCTGGCCTGACCAAAAAAAAACTGGTCCAGCCCATGTAACTCTCTAAGGTACACCTCTGCGACCCTAGTTCCGTCTGAGCCCTAGTTTAAAGACCACTCCTGACCACCCATGTGACACGCTGACCTAGCCCTCAGCGACTCCCCTCTCCCAGGCCTCAGTGCAAGCCAGGAGACCAGTCTCTGTCAGGTCTGTCTGTTGCTGCAGTACAGACCAGAATAAACTCAAGGGTGCCGTAACCCGACATCGAACGCACCTTACTAACCAACAATCTAACCTAACCTCTCACACAAGCTGGCTTAGCACCTGGATCTCTCCTTTTCCAGGTCTCAGTCCATGGCAGAATGCCAGTTTCTAATCTTGAAGACGTGAATGCCGCGGTCTGACCTAAACCCTCCCTAACCCCTGACCTGATTCTGACCTCTACAACTCTTTCCAGGGCCTCGTTTCATAAAAGGAATTACTTACGGCGTTCCGTCAATTATGCCAGATTTGGCGTATTTGATGCCAATTCGGTTTCATAAAGCCGGAGACCGGAGTAATTCACGCCATCGAAATTACGGAGCTTCATTTACGGCAAATGCTCGATTCCGGACCAATTGATGCCATTTGGGTTTCATAAAACGACGTAACTAACGCCAAATATTTTATCAAGCTCTTGATATCAGTGGTGTAAACTACGCACAAAAATGTTGCGTGAATTTGAGTTAATGTGAAGATTCGAAGCTAATTTTTGATATATTTTATAATGTTGAGCCCGTTGAGGAAGACAGAACAGCCAAAATGAGAAAAAGAAACTGCAAATCTCCTGTACCAGTCGCTTTTTGTGGCCACTATCGGAATTTTGTTTATTCGCCGCGCCGCGCCACTTTCGTAGTTAGGCACTTCTGCTTAGCTGGCTTTCTGCTGTTTTCAATATATTGATTTAATAAAGGATGGTCATCAATGTCAATTTTGTTTTTTCATAAATAATTTTTAAGATTTAAATTCAACATAATTGTTTTATAATTTCTCGTAAAAAATAAGTGTTGACATGAAATTGTAATTTGTAGGACACTTGATAAATTACGGTAACTACGCAAATGTGCTTAGTTACGGAGGTGTAAACAATTCCAGTTTTGGCTTTGTGAAACGGCTTAATTTACGCTCCGTAGTTTGAAAGGGTGTGAAATACGGAAAGGTGTAAATTACGGCAGAGTTTTATGAAACGAGGCCCAGGTCTCACTCCAGGTCAGAAGACCAGTGTCGGCCTCATATCCCGACATCCATGTTCCTACCTAACTGACAATGATAACCGAAATAACTGAACAATGACAGCCGTACCATAGACCCGACTCATTGTTTTTCTCACAGACAATGACAATACAAAAACCATGTAATAATTGTCATTGTCTGTGAGAACAACAAAATGTCTGACTCTTCTAACCTGACTGACTCATATAACTCCTCCCTCCAGGTCTCACCCCAGGTCAGAAGACCAGCGTCGGCCTCATATCCCGACATCCATGTTCCTACCTGACAATGATAGCCGTGCCATAGACCTGACTCATATAACTCCTCTCTGCAGGTCTCACCCCAGGCCAGAAGACCAGTGTCGGTATCCTGATGCAGAACCGTCCCGAGTGGACCCTGGTGGAGCAGGGCTGCTACTGCTTCAGCATTATCACAGTACCGCTGTACGACGCGCTGGGGGAGGACACGTGTGCCTACGTTATTGATAAGGTGAGCAGTAGCGGCGGAACACCTTCAATTAAGGGGGGCACTGCCGACTTTTGGTCTCATTCTTTCCATGCAACGCCCATAGGGCTAATGTTAAAATGTCAAAATCAAAGGGGGCACGGTGCCCTCCCCGTTCCGCCGCCTATGAAGGTGCCTAATCCTATGTTATTGATAAGGTGAGGAACGTGTGCCTACGTCATTGATAAGGTGAGGACACCTGTGCCTACGTCATTGATAAGGTGAGGACACCTGTGCCTACGTTATTGATAAGGTGAGGAGCGTGCGCCTACGTCATTGATAAGGTGAGGACACGGGTTACTACGTTATTGCTAAGGTGAGGACACGTGTGCCTACGTCATTGATAAGGTGAGCAGTAGCGGGGGAACACCTTCAATTAAAGGAGGACACTGCCAACTTTTGGTCCCGTTCTTTCCATGCAACACCCATAGGGCTAATGTTAAAATGTCAAAATCAAAGAGGGCACGGTGCCCCGGTGCCCTCCCCGTTCCGCCGCCTATGAAGGTGCCTATGTTATTGATAAGGTGAGGTCACGTGTGGTTAGGTTATTGCTAAGGTGAGGAGTGGTGCCTACTTTATCGACAAAGTGAGGCATCAACGTTTCATTGATGATTGAGAGTACTTGCATGAGTGATATACATAACACTTTTTAAATATATGTTAACACCATTATGTATTGCCTTTTCTTCGACGAGTTTTTTAATCGCAGCGTATAAAGGACATCCAAAAAGTCGGAAAAGATTCATTCTTTATTTCAAAGCCAGCACTTCGGCTTCGAACTTTGAACTGAAGAAAGAACGATCTTGGAAAAAATCCTTTTTAGTGTGCACGTCATACCGTTTTATGGATAGGTTTTATCGTGAATCGCTCACGGAGCCGTCCTTTCTACTTTATTCGTTTTATTATAAATTCCACTCCCATCAGCGTGCGGCCACTGGAATGAACCATTCGGCCGGTGTCCTTGGCAGGCGTCCAACTCCATCAGCGCAGCTGACATGTCCTCCTCTTGGCTCTCACACGGCTGGATACTGACCTCCCGGCGGCATTTGCGGCGCGTGGCGCAGACTGTCGGCATTCGCGACGCGTGACACTGCGCGGAGGTATTCGCGGCGCTTCGTTGGTCGTCGTTACGTCTCCGGCGGCTCGCTGAAAGCAAAACTATTCGCTGGCGGGCGTTCTGAAGGTGCACTGGTCGCAGGGATGGAATATGAAATTTTTACGAAAAAAGTTTCATGCTAGCTATGAGTCATGTGAAGCGTCTAAAGATACTGAGGATGAATTATCGAGCAAATAGTACCTATTTAGGAAAAAATGTAACTTCGTTGTTGGCCATGCATCATGGAATATGGATCATTACGCTAGATTCATACTAAGAGCTAAATAATCATTCATGTGAACTGAAAATCACTATATTTTTTCTCGATGAAAAAATTTGCAATGCGAAATTGGTATTGCAAACTCAAATGCTGCGAGTCTATTCACGGTTGTCTGCTGCGCCTGAGGCGTCGATGAGACGAGTACCAGCAGAAGACCTTGATTACGTCACTGGAGCTGACAGTTATGGCACTAATGGATCCGGCGCTTCTACCCAGACGCCTGGAGAGCTGCCAGTTTTGTCAGTCGAGCGTCCGCTCCAGCAATTAGAGCCGCCACTTTTTCACTGAAGTTGCCACATTTGCCACCGTAAGAGCGGCGTATGTTACTAAAACAGCAGCCGGATGTCTTTGAAGATTAGTCGCGGAGGTTTCAGTGGTTGTAAAGAGAAACGGACGATTATGGTTGTGAATCACTACGACCTTGAGGTTAGATAGGTATGTGCAGGTCACGAATGTTGGGCCTGAAGTTATTCTAAAATGAAGAAGTGACATGGAGAAGTGATTCTAAAGAAAAGTGTATAAAATGCGGCATGTTTGAAGGACACATATTTTAGTCAAATAGCCACACAAGAATGCATAGATCTGGATTGCATAGACTCAGTTTTGTATTTCGATCATCATTCTGCCCCGCATCGTCCTACGTATTGGTATCTTGCCAATGAATTGAACTAAATTCATTATCAACTATTTTTTGTAGTTCATGTGTAGTACGTCTTGGCCGGTGCCTCCGACCAGACTGACCTTTTCGAAGATATTATTATTGTAACGCTTGTACCGTCAGTTTCCTGTCTTCGCCGACAGGCTAAACTCTGGACATTGTTTTCAAACACCCTGCGGCGTTATTTTTCCGTTTCTGCTGCCAAACTGGCCTCGCTGTTCTTTTCACGGCCTCGCTGTTCTTTTCACAGCAATGTTCTGTGTTCGCCTGGGGCATTATTTGCGTCATTGTGTATTTCATTTCTGCCAGATTAACGTCTTTACCCATATTATTCCAAACCCCCAATCATGTATTTTTCCTCTACAGGGTGTTGCAGCTAAATTGGGAATTTTTCCCGCTTACACTTAAAGTGGCATAACTCAGTAGAATGAAGAGACAGAGCTTTCAAACTTTGAACGTGTATTGACGCACATGTTCTCTACCCTCTCACTCAATGTGGCCACCATGAGCCTCCTTCACCATCTCCAGGCGGCGTCGGAACGCGCCGCACGCGCGCTGAGCCTCCATAGGATCGATGCTGCTGGCTGCCTTCTTGATGGACTTCTTGAGGCTCGAGATGCTGTCATGGGCACGTGCGTTGGACCTCTCCTCAATCGCGCTCCACATCCAAAAGTCGCACGGATTTAGGTCGGGTGAGTTTGGAGGCCACGTATCCTTTGGGACATACAGAGGGATCTTCCGACTAAGGAAATCCTGCACCCTCCGGGAAGCATGAGCTGGAGCCGAGTCCTGTACAAGTGTGACTTTCTTCAGGTCGTAGTACTTCGCCATCCAGGGCAAAAGCACTTCTTCTAAGATGGCCAGATACTCCTCTGCGCCGATTCTTTCTCCAGCAGGTATGAAGTGAGGGGGCATGACGCGACCGTCGCTCGCGACGGCTCCGAACACCATCACAGAGGCTGGATTTTTGCTTATCATCACTGGTGGAACATCACCGGGGTTCGAGGCGATGACTCTTGAGTTCCGGCGGTTGGCAACTTCGTCTACCACAAACTTCTTTTCGTCCACAAAGACTCTCACGTCTCCTCCATGGTTCTTGAGCTGGTTCAGAACCATCGGGACCCTCTCCTTCCGTAACGCTTTTAGACGCTCCGTCAGAAGGTTCTGCCGTTTCCTACTATACGACCTCATCCCGAGGTTCTCCTTGACAGCCCTGCTAATGGTGCTTTTGCTCACCCTTCGGTCTCGCGCTAGCTTACGCATTGAGACACCTGGTTTGGCCTCAATAGACCTTTTCAAGCCCGCGAGAAACCGAGGATTCCGTTTGCGGTCACTTCGCGGCGCATGGGGACGTCTACTGACATCTCCTCCACCGTCCATAGTAGCGACAGTGCGATATACCGTAGACTTCGGGTATCCTGTTGCGATAACGATCTCTTTCGCGCTTTGTCCAGCGCGAACTAATTCAGCAACTGTACATCTACGCTGTTCCTCCATGACTGTTATCGGTTTTCGTGCATCAAAAATATTAGCACGTGAAAGAGCATTGTTGAAATAGTATCATGTCAAATTTTCAGCCATATCCTCCAAATAACAAAATTGTGATTAGGTTACGAACTTTGTCCCAATTTAGCTGCAACACCCGGTACAGTCTACAGACTGGTTGGTCTCAATACCGGCCGATGTCGTCCTCAGTCACGTGCTTTTCCTCCTTGGCTCATGGGGATAATTGTGTACATTTTGTGCACCCAATGACGTAATTTTCTCCCTCCTTTTTCCAGCTGCCGGACATTGGTCACGTGACCACATTTTCCGTTTGACCTTGAGTTGGCACCAGATTTTGTCGACAGACGTGGCGCAGCTTATTTTACTGCATTATTTTGGATACTAAATATTTAGCCGTGTGGTGGTAAATGATACCGTGCAAATAATATTGAATCATCGGTGACATAGTTACCACTGAAACTTGAATATCATCAATAAAATACAATTAATCTATTATTACTCTTCCATTGATTTTATTGTGCTTGCAGGCATAGGTAGAGACTGAAGAGCTGAGCCTGCAGCTTACAGTTGTTCTATACAGTAGCGGCGGAACACCTTCAATTAAGGGGGGGGGGGCACTGCCGACTTTCGGTCCGATTCTTTCCATGCAACGCCCATAGGGCTAATGTTAAAATGTCAAAATTAAAGGGGGCACGGTGCCCCGGTGCCCTCCCCGTTCCGCCGCATATGGTTCTATAACTCTTAATGCATAAATCAAGGCTACTGAGGGCGCAAATTTGTTTCATTTATCTTTAATAACTTATGCCCTACCTTCATCTACTATTATCTGTAAGAATCTTGCATCAATCATCACCAGACTTCTTAGTTTTTTTACTACGCCCCGGCCGCGAGAGCGAGCGGGTACGACTCCCTCGCCCTAATTGAGCTAGCCTCGCGGGAAAAACAAGCATGTGTGCCGTTACGGGACCGGGGACGCAGCGATTGATGCACGGTTCAAAAGTCTCAGGTCAACTGGTGGCCTGTGAGGGTCAGGTCAAGTGCCCCGAGGGCCAAAATACGATTTCGGGTTTTGAGAAATAACTTTGCCAAAAACGGCGCAGAGTCGCGATTTTAATACCATCATGTTTGTCATGCTCCGGTGCGTCAAAATGGTACACTTTTGTTTGGGTGGGGTCAACATAAGGTGTTCACATCGGGTCAAAGCCAGGTCAGAGGCACTCAGGTCACGAAGTTGGTCGGAGGAGGTTAATATCTTATATCATTCGATTCGGTAAGTCTTCCCGAGTATATTGGCGACTTTTCCGACTTGCCAATTCAATTTTATCAGGAGTTATTGACGAAAAAACTTGTGACCTTTGTGACGTCATAAATGACGTCACGCTAGGATAAAGATGCGAAAGTGAAGCATTAGACATTGCAAGAATTGCATGAAATTGCGATTCCATGTGCTTGAGCTAGGTTTAGATCATTCTCGGCGTCAAAATTACAGTTTCTATATTTTCCCCATTGACTTGTAATGGTGACGTCACGCGATCGGCCTGACCTCATGTGACCTCTAGGAGAAATCCGAGATATACAAGTTTTGAGACTTCTAGAGGATGCTAGGTCCTGTATATATCATCTCGTTGTGACAGCTCCTCTGGCACCGAGGGCATTGCGAAGTTTCGGTATTTTGGGACTATTGCAGAGGTTCACGTGTGACGTCATAAGTCAGTGATCTGACCTGAGGCGGAAATGCAATTGGTTTCCAAAGATGCGTATGGAAGCAAGGATAAGGTGTGCCAAATAGCAGCCCTCTAGCTGTAAGGTGTTCTGAGCTATCGCCAAAAGTCGTGAGTGGAGCGCTACAGACTCCTCCGGTCGGCCGCCGGGGGTTAGGAGGCGTGCAGGGTATCGGAAAACCACCTGGTACTTTGCGAATTTTGCCGATAAAAATACGTTTCTTATGCCGATTTATAGCCAAAAGACTACTGAATCTCAAACCAGTCGTATCCTTGCACTAAATGGCTTGGTTTAGACACGATAGGTCTGAAAAGAAAAGGTCCCATGTATTCTCTATGGGCGCCGCGAGGCCGTTGGCACCAGAGTTTCGGGAAGTGCCCTCGCCACAACCGCACGTGCATATTTGGTCACGTGACCAAGCGCATTTGCCGCCACTGTATTTATATACACTGTGCCTTTTTCATACTGACCTCTCGTTGGTAGTTGTGAACAGCGACGCATCATGTACCCAATGACGTAATTTTCCCTCCTTTTTCATTCCTTCCTCTCGTTAGTCGTCTTAGACAGCGATGCATCATATACCCAATGACGTCATTTCCCTCTCCTATTCCAGACGGGTCTCTCAGTGGTCGTTGTGGACAGTGACGCCCGTTTGAGCGGCCTTTTGAACACGCGTCCCCGACGGCTGGAGAAGATTGTCTGTACACACCATCCAGCTCCGGATCTACTGAAGCGAGCGGCTGATTTGGCGGTGACGGTGGTGGGATTCGCGGAGATGGAAAAGGAAGGAGGAAAGGCGCAGATTGCCGAGAAGGTGAGAGAGTGGGAGGGAGAGAGAAAGTGGGGAATGGGAGAAGGGAAGGGACGGAGAGAGGGAGCAGAGAGAGCGAGAGGGTGAGAGAGAGAGAGGGAGAGAGAGAGAGAGAGAGAGAGAGAGAGAGAGAGAGAGAGAGAGAGAGAGAGAGAGGGAGAGATAGAGCTGACAGAGAGACAGAGACAGAGATGTGAGATTCGGTCTTCGAAAATAAATCGGATGAACCGACCTGGCAATGAATGGAATAGTGTCCCGGCCTAATATTTGAAAAAAATATGCTATCAACTGGAAAATGTTTACGAGAAATGAAATGCTGAAATGAAATGAAATGGAACCGAGAAATGCTGCGATGAAGTTCACAAAAAATTATATTTCAGTTAAAGTTGGATTAAAAGAAAAATATCAACAAAACACCAAAAATCCCCCCCAACTAACCCCCCCCCCCCGTTCTATTTTCAGCCGCCCCGGCCGGAGGACACGGCCACCATTTGTTTCACGGCCGGTACCGGAGACACGCCCCGGGGCATCGTTCTGACCCACGCCAATGTGACGTCATCGGTCCACGCCCTGCTGCTACAGTTAGACTCGTGTGCACCGAACAGTGGCGATGTGCTGATGAGCTACCTGCCGCTGGCACATATGCTGGAGAGGATCTGTGAGGTGAGATGGGGGGAGGGAAGAGGGGAGAGGGAGGGAGGCAGGGAGAGAAAAGCAAGGAAGATGGAGAAAGAGAGAAAGAGAGAGAGAGAGAGAGAGAGAGAGAGAGAGAGAGAGAGAGAGAGAGAGAGAGAGAGAGAGAGGATGGGAGGGAGAGAGAGAGAGAGGAGATAGTTAAAAGGAAGAAAGAAAAAGAAAAGGAAGAAAAAGATGGATGGATAAAAGGAGAGGAGGATGTAATGAGACAGCGGAAAGGAGAAAAGAAGGAAAGAAAGGGGGAAACGTGACATTGTGAGCTGTCGTCATATATCGTTAGCTAATATGTGAACTGAGAGGGGAATAAAAAGGGAGAGGAAGCGAGTAAAAGGGTGAATATAATCGAGATGATTGATAATCCACCACCCGTTCGTGCCCATATTCGAGGATGTATGCTTTTTTCACTTCTCTCTCTTCCGGTTTCCACCGGCGGTTTATTAATCAATACAGAAAAAATAGGCAAATAAGGTATGTAGTTTGAGTCAACGAACAAAAACATAGTGAATAGATAGATGGCGCCACCGGCTGGCAAGGATACAGGAGCTCAGATGGATTAGTAATGTTAGAGAGAAGACAGTTAGTTGTTAGTGAAGGTTGGTAAAGGAGGTGACGCCATCATTAACAACAAAAAGTCAGAGTGAAAAACGGCCAGCATTGCCCCTCCTCGGACGGGTAACCGCTGACCTCCAGCCAGCGTGCGCGCCGTCGATTAAACGGTCGCGGCGCCGTCGTAGGTGGCGGTAGATGGCACCAGCATGCCGTAGCGCCGACCGGCGGCACAGCCGCCCGGCCGTCGGCGCCACGGCGGTAAAGCCATCAGGCCGCCGGCGCCACGGCGGCGCAGCCCTCGGATGATTGTGCCGCGGGGCGGCGCAGCCCACAGCCGATGGTACTCCGGCAGCGTGGCCGCCGGGTCGCCGGCGCCCCAGCAGTACAGCCCCCAGGCTGACGGTGAAGCAACGGCACAGCCCCCGGACCCCGGGGCCGCGACAGTACAGCCATCAGGCCCCCGGCGCCGCGGCGGCACAGCCCCCCGGACGAGGGCACCGCGGCGGCGCAGCAAACAACCGACAGCGCCACGGCGGCACAGCGACCGGCGCCCCAGCGGCACAGCCCTCGAGCTGACGGTGACACGACGGTACAGCCTTCGGGCCGCCAGCGCAGCGGCGATGGATCCTTCAGGCAGTCGGTGTTGCGGCGGTTCAGCCCCACGGCTGACGATACTGCAGTGATACAGTTGGCGGGCTGCTGGTTATGCAGTGGTGCAACCCTCGCGTTGACGGCGCCGCCGCCGGTGCTGCAGTACCTGCAGTGGTACAACGCCCGCGCTGCAGGCGATGCAGTGGCTCAGCACCACGGGCTGTCAGTGCTGCAGTGGTGCACTCCCGGACTGCCGGCGCCGCAGCGGGACTCCTGGATCGCCAGCGCCGCAGCGGAACAGTCACCGGGGCGCCAGCGCCGCAGCGGCGGAGACCCGGCCACATCAGGTCGCCGGTTGGAGTGCCGATGATGGGCGGTGCAACTAGCTGTCAACGCCGCGGGCTGGTGGAGTCTGGAGAACGGGGATGTGTGTGATTAACGCAAGTCATGACATCGGCCGAGGCAGAAGGCGAGATAGGATGTTACAATAGAAAGTGAGACCGAGTGACCACTCTGACAGAAAGAAGTGAAGTAAACCAAGTTCAATGAAATCAGGCGCTGTGGACAGGGTATAGGGCTGCAACGATTCCTGAGGCCCTGCCCACAAACGCAAAGTTAAGATGAATAACGTAAATTGTGTGAACGAGCCACTTAACATACAAAGGTGAAATGAACTCGAAAGAAATCGGAATTCTGGTCTGACAGCCGATGTTCTACGTAGTTTATCTCCATCCCTCTAACCTCGCTCCCCCTCTCTCCGACAGGCGGTGCTCTTCTCCCAGGGCGGCAGTGTCGGTTACTGGAGCGGTGACCTGCACGACCTGCCGTCTGACCTCAGTGCCCTACGGCCCACCGTGGTACCCATGGTACCGCGGCAGCTGAATAGGCTGAAGGACAGAGCCGTGGCGTGGGCCGCCGGGAGTGGACTCAGGAGGAGGCTGCTCAAATGGGCGCTGTCCGCCAAACAGGCGGAGGTAGATAGGTGAGAGAAAGAGTGGGGAGGGGTAGGAGAGAGAGAGAGAGGGGAAGAGGGGGACGGGGAGAGGGAGGGAGGGAGGGAGGGTGAGTGGGAGAGGAAGGCGGGGAGAGAGGGGAGGTGAGGAGACAAACATTCTGAGATCACAAACTATTTTTAATTATATATCAAGACAGCAAGTCGGAAGAACGACAAACCGCATTATTTATTTGACACGCTGCGAAATAATCAAAAACCCACCCGCTTCAAACCTCCACCTACCATTCCCTTCCCCAGATCCGTAGTCTGTGATGACCCCCTCCCCCCTCCCCAGGTCTACCCCGCAATGACCCCCCCCCCCCCCAAGGTCAGTCCGCAATGACTCCATGTCCCCCCCCCCCCAGCTCTACATAGTCCGTAATGACTCGATCTCTGTACCCCGCCCCCTCCCCCTCCCCCAGGTCTGTATATACTCCGCATTCCGCAATGACTCCATCACCCCCCCCCCCCTCCCAGGCCTATACTTCACAATGACTCCCCCCCTCCCCCCCCACAGGTCTATTGTCCGCAATGACTCGATCTGGGACCGTCTCGTGCTCCGGCCCACCCGCGCCTCGCTCGGTGGTAGAGTGAGACTGGTGGTGGTCGGGTCAGCTCCCACCGCGCCGGCCGTACTCAACTTCGCCCGGTGTGCGCTGGGATGTACGGTGAGTGGGTGAGGCGGGTTCGAATCTTAGGGCGGGAAAAGTTTTCTAGAAGATGTTGGATGGGTGATAGCTAGCGTTTAAATTCTTATTTTTATGTGAGGTATAGGTCTATATGCAGATATTTTTTGCATTTAGCTGGTGCTTTCTGTTCTTATTTTCTTTGGGGTTATCCTAGGCACAAATTTTAGATGGAATGGTATTTACCTGCGCACTTAATTAAAGCCAGAACGTATTTTATTTTATTTTTATCTTTATTCGAGTCAAACTGAGAGCTTATCTTATGCCTCATCCAAACTCGACAGACTATCAAAGTTTATTGTTTAACCCGCGCCCGGCTGGGGGTCCAGGATTTTCACGCCCTGCTGGGGGGGGGGGGGGTGTTTGAACACCCCCCCTTGTAACTCGGCTCCTGGGCCACGTAGCGATACGCGGAAGGCGGCGTTCGAAAGAGCGTCAAAAATAATGACGAAATCACTTCGGTCAATTTTTTGGTCAGGTCAAAGGTCAGGTCACCAGAGGTCATGGAAGGCAAAATTTCGCCGATTTCCAGGTCGAATGTCGAAAATTTCCAAGAAGCCAACGCATAACTCGGGAACCAATAGAGCTATAGCGCCGCGGAAAAGCGCATTCGATAGCCCCATTAACGCCCTTTCTGAGTAATTCTCTCAGATTTGACCTAACTTCAACGGTTTTGCCTGCAGGGGGCAAAAACTGCAAAAATAGCCGATTTTTTCGGAAACAGTTTTTCTGCAATAACTTTTGACCCAAGCCTTGTACGAGCTTACTTTTACCGGAATCGTGTTCCTCTCGTCAAGACGCATCGAATGAACTATAACTTGACCTTGAAAGGTCAACTTGAAAATTTGACCTCAGGTCAAGGTCATGACCTGACCGGAAAGGGTCATGTTGCATATCAGTCGATCCGTATCGTCGAGCTGAACACATCTAAGGCGTTTTCATCGCTCTAGCATGCCTCTATCAAAAGTTATTTGCGAAAAACTGTTAGATACCATTCGTGACCTAAGATGACCTCAGGGCATAAACAAGGGTCATACTCATGGACGCCATTTTCATGTTCAGTGTGTCTAAACCACTTGTTATTCGGTGTTTGGGAGTGTTTATAATGTCTTTCGTCCAAAAGAGGCGCATTTCAATTTTCTCCCATTGACTTATAATGGGGAGGTCGCAAAATTGACCTGACCTTAGGTCATCGATATCAAAATTCTGAGATATACATTTTGTACATGCTATTGCTCTTAGCAATCGCTGAAAGTTTCAAAGCGATCGGTCACTCGATGTAGCTATGACAGGCATTGAAACTTTTTATGAGGTGAGGTCACTTCAAGTGACCTGGTGACCTGACCTTGAATGACCTTGGTCTGAAATTTTCATAACATGTGTAGAATTGATGTATGATAAGGTGTACCAAAAACGGCGGCGGGAGCGCCGCCGTTTTTGAGATATTCGCGAAAAACCACAAGGGGGGGTGTTCAAACACCCCCCCCCCCCCCAGCAGGGCGCGGGTTAACCCCTTTATCACGCTCCCTCCCTCTCTCTAACACCTCCCTCCTCCCCCTCTAGGTACTGGAAGGATACGGCCAAACCGAGTGCTCGGGCGCCTGTACTCTGACTGTGCCCGGTGACATGAGGCCGGGTCAGGTCGGGCCGCCGCTGGCCTGCTGTGATGTGAAGCTGGTGGATGTACCCGATATGGGTTATTATACGGTGTGCGGAGAAGGAGAGGTGTGCATACGAGGCAGCAATGTGTTCAAGGTGAGTGGGAGGGGAGGGGGAGAGGGGGAGAGAGGGGGGGAGGATTAGGAGAGAGGGAGCGGAAAAGGGAGATGGGAGAGGGAAAGAGGGGAGTTAATGAAATGAGAGAGAATTGGAGGGGAACAGCGCAGATTCAATAATGAGGCATAAATAAGGGAGCCAGATAGAGTGCGTAACTCAAAACTGTTTTTTTAGAGGGGGGGGGGGGCATTTTGCTGTAAGTTGCTATTGTTCATGTTATAATACTTCCAGCTGCGTTAATTCGGACAGCAAAACATTTAGACCTCTATTGACCTCTGCTCACATCCTCTAAGCTCTTTTGATCTCCAATGACTCCCGTTGACCTCTGCTGACTTCATTTGACTTCAGAGCTTCTTTGGTGACCTAGTCTAGTGACCTCTACTGACCTTAAGTGACCTCCACTGACCTCCACTGACCATCTCGGACCTCTACTAACATCCAACCTACTGTGACGTCTTCTGACCCCTCCGTTGCCCCCAGGGCTACTTCGGTGACCCGGCTCGGACGGACGAGGTTCTGGATAAACAGGGCTGGCTGCACACAGGGGATATAGGACAGTGGACCAAACACGGAACGCTGAGGATCATCGATCGACGCAAACATATGTTCAAACTGGCGCAGGTGAGAGCAAACATAGCACACAAACACATGTTCAAACTGGCGCAGGAGAGCAAATGCAGCTCACAAGGCGCAAGCGCATGTTCAAACTGGCTCAGGTGAGAGAAAATACAGCACACAAACACAAACACATGTTCAAATTGGCTCAGGTGAGAGCAGATACAGCACACAAAACGCATGTCAAGCCAACCTAAGAACCTGGTAGTTGGTTGTTGATAAACAGCTATTTGCTATTATCGTGCGCCTGAAATGAAATAACAATCATTTCGATCAGAAACCTCAGATTTTGAGGCCTTGCAAGAGCTATATTCTTGATAGAAATCCTTTTTTATTCTTGGTTCCACTCTGCGTAAAATGCTGCCAAAAAATTTTCCTGGTCGCTGATCGAGTCAAAATTCCTTATAATACCTATCTCTTGCTCACTCCTCTGCACAAAATCAGTCCAGACAACCCGCACCTATCTCATTAGGATTCCTTCCCTCTCAAAGGGACATATTAACGTATCGTAAATCTAAAACCCTTGCAAGATCATGTCTTAAACTTTTTCCTCGCTGGGAACTGGGAAGTGCAGTGTAAATCTCTCCCCTCTTCCTCACAGGAGAGGAATATCTGAATCTTCCCTCTCTCCCCAGGACGAGTATCTAACCCTCCCCTCCCCTCTTTCCCCGCAGGGCGAGTACGTCTCCCCGGAGCGTGTGGAGGCCGTCTACCTCCGGTCCCTCTCCCCCTTAATATCTGACCCCCCCTCTCTCCCCCCAGGGCGAGTACGTCTCCCCGGAGCGTGTGGAGGCCGTCTACCTCCGGTCCCTCTCCCCCTTAATATCTGACCCCCCCTCTTTCCCCCCAGGGCGAGTACGTCTCCCCGGAGCGTGTGGAGGCCGTCTACCTCCGGTCCCTCTCCCCCTTAATATCTGACCCCCCCTCCCTCCCCGCAGGGCGAGTACGTCTCCCCGGAGCGAGTGGAGGCGGTCTACCTCCGGTCTCGCTACATCTCCCAACTCCTGGTACACGGTGACAGTCTCAAGTCCTGCGTGGTGGCCGTCGTAGTGCCAGAGGTTGCTGAACTGAAAGCCTGGGCGGCCACGACGGGACTCAGGGGCACGCTGTCCGTCCTCTGTCAGGCACAGGCAGTGAAGGATATGATATTGGCGGATATGGATCGACTCGCCACTGAGGCCAGGCTGAAGGGATTTGAACAGGTGAGGACGACGGGAGAAAGGACGGGTGGAGAAAAAGATCATATGATAACGATACATTCGTCATTTACTATCTGTTAACAGCTATTATGCATATACCTATGTATATGTCCGATACATATCCGTAAGATCCATATAAAATGACATATTAATATAGTTGATACATGGTCTTTGAAGTGATACGCCCATTTTGCCCAGTGACCACACTTGACGTGTCAACAGAATAGATATGTAGATTTGAGATCGAGATTAGTTGAGATGATTGTTTTCTCCGTTTTATAATATAAGACGGTGAAGTAATGTGCTAGATTCGCAGTGGGTTTATTTTGCTTGAAGCTGCTGGAATTGAAAAATGCCGCTGCATTGTTTGTTCACCAGAAGCATGAACACCCAACTGTGAGACCTGAGGGATGTTAACTGTAGGGCCGTCTCCCTGACCTCTCATTTTCACATTCTACCGACCCACCTGACCCCTCTCGGTGCCGGGTTCCAGGTGAAGGACATCTACCTCCACCCGGATCGGTTTAGCGCTCAGAACAGTCTACTGACCGCCGGACAGAAGCCACGCCGGCCCGAAATGAGACGCTACTTCAAACCCCAGCTCGACGACCTGTATGCCAAACTCCGCTAGTGCTGACATCTAGTGAGAAAGGAGAGAAGCTGGTGCTTTGCAGCTTCTCTTTGGAATTGAGTTCTCTGGAAAGAGAGAAACTGGCAGCTGTTAGATGTGCTGAGAGTGAAAACTGACGTGGAACGGGAGATATTGATGTGTGTTTTAAGCTCGGATGGTGTTTGGTGGTGTGCTGGCATGAATGGTAGGGAATTGGAACTGGCAATGGTGGATTGTGCTGCCACCTAGCGGGCGTTGCAATAAACTAGCATCACTGGATGGTAGAGACATCTAGCGGGGGGCGGAAGAAGCTCTTCTGTACCCTGAGTGGAAGTGCAGTGTTCTGAAATAGTTTTTTTTCTGAAATAGTTAGCACTTGTGATTGTGAATTGTGCTTATATCTTACGAGGGATGATAAAACTGGTGCGGAATGCGGATGCAGACTCCTCCGTGTTTTACCTATTGAGCTTGGGATCAGCTTGGGAGCGTGCTGACATCTGGTGGGCGGTGAAAAACTGATGAGTGCATTGTGCTGACACCTAGCGGGGAGTGAGTGAAGCGGAGACCAGCCCCTTGTGCTGGCATCTAGTGACAAACTGAGAAAACAAGGAAGTGTGGGACTGATGAGTTGTGGTAAACCTTTTTCGCATATATCTTGCATGATAGTAAGTTTGCCGTGGTGAATCTTTTACATAGTAGGTAGCCTGTCAGAACTCTGCGCTCAAATGCTGTATTTTACTGATGCGTAATCGCTGATTGTCTTGCAATGGGGATATACGACGGTTCCCATTAGCCGGTGCTTGCTGAGCGTAGAATAAAGTCCTGTGAATATGTGACATATGTGTGCAGGTTTCATCGATCTTTATATCGCATTGTAAGCTAAGTACGCTTTAAATTTCGATCTGTTTGGTAGTTGAAAAGAGATCGGTCCGATAAAATTCCTTTAGGCATCGCCACATCTGAAGTAAAGAAAAAGATGGAAGAATGGGACTGAGTGCATTGTGCGATTTCCTATCACTCTATATTTTTCAGAGCTCAGATATTTGGCCAGGAATGTTAGTTTAAATCAATATTTTCCAAATATTGCGATTGAAGTGTCGGTTGCCTTCAGGGAGGGCGTAGCAAATGCAAGGTCAACCGTCAATACGCACGCTGAGTGTCTTGAGTTGAGACGTTTCGTGTAAAATGCTTCGTTCTAACGGCAAGCTACTCACTACTGACAAATGTAATGCATTGATTTTGGTTGAACACGACAGAAAAAAAAATATCTTATATCAGACGAGCGAGTGTGGCTATTTGTTCATACCCTGGCAATTTATTATGTTACGTAATTAATGGAGCCTGCTTATCCATTCCTTTTGAACGGGCCTAATAACGAGTTCATGTCGGATGCAAGACATCTTTGCACGGATTTATATCTCACTTATCTTCCCCTCCTTCTCCCCTCCTCCTGTATTCCCCATCTCATCCTCTTTTTCGACTCTTTTCCCACATTCCGTCCACCGTCGGCCGGCAGCGTCCACCCCTCCCTCTCCTCCCCCCTCCCCTACCCACCATACCGTATCGTCGCGTTGTCGGCCAACCGCCCGGGGGCACGGTTGGTCGGGCTCCGCTGCCCACTGCCCGCAGGTCGTGTCGAGTTCAGTATTGTGCCGGCGGCAGTACGGGGAGGGTGCCGCTGGGGCCCCGTGGTGGAAGAAGAAGTACGGGGAGTGGTGTGTGGGGAGACATGGAAAGAGTGGAGGGGTGAGTGTGGGGGAGAGTTTGTGTGATTTGACAGGAACAGAACGGACTACACTTGAGAAGCTAAAATCGGCCAGGACGATCGTCAAAACTCAGCCTAGAGGTAAGTTCAACTACGGACTATTTTGTTGACGCTTGACAATAAATGATGGGCTGCGTTCAATAGCACTGCACTGCTGGACACTGCTGGTTGGAACTGTATTCTTTGTTTTGAAAAACAAACCTGAGTTGTCCGACGGTTTAGCGAAAGCGATCTGAGATCGGTACCTACGCGATGTCGTTATTGTTGTTTTATAGTTAGGTTTTCGGAATTTCGACATAGGCCCACCGCATGATGACTTACAACTATCGGGCACCAACCGTTCTTTCTGTTCTCAGGGCAGTCAAACAAACTAACAAACAATAAAAAACTAACAAACAGGCAAACAAACAAACAAACAAACAAAAACAAACAAACAAAAGAAGTTAAAGTAAACGGAAGGCTAGTTTAATGTTGCCTACCTATATCCCGCACTTTGAAAAAAGACGCTCATATATTCTATTTGTGAGTGCAAATACTTATCCACATATTTTATAAGTATTTGTGGCTCTATCTCACGCGGTATAAATAATTATCGGCTACAAACTGGCACCGAGCTCAGTTGACCCAGAGGTGGGATTGGGGGACGATGGCCCGACATGTTCAATGGTCGATATGATATGGTGTCAGAGCTGACAAGATTCTTAACTTTTGGTAGTGCCGTTTTAGGCATCGTGTTTCCCCCCCCCCCCCCCACCTTAGCAAAAATGTGTTATTATTTTAGTTTTGCTTAGTTTATTTTGCTTCATTTTATTTTGTTTTATTTTATTTTGTTTTATGTTATTTTATTTTATTTTATTTTATTTTATTTTATTTTATTTTACTTTATTTCATTCTATTTTATTTTATTTTATTTTTTCATTTTATTTCATCTTACTTTATTGAAAAAGAAAGATAAAAACGCACCTACAAACAAAGATAATTTCCATTAAAAATTGTTACCACGTGCCTTGTTAGCAGCTGCCAGCACACGGCAGCCCCGCTTCGTGCAATGTGCATAGCCCATGGCAAGTGTCCGTTGTGAACGCACCACCCATGCATGCCGGGCACCCCTTCTCTCCAGACCAGCTCATGAGCTCCCTCTCCCCTCCCTCCCCCTCCTTCCCCTCGCACCTGCCTCTACATCCGGTGACCAAACCGTAGACGCCTTCCCCCACGACACCATACCCCACCGCTCGACTTTGACACCGGAATAGACCGACACCAAAGCCATAGCCCTCCGCTCGTCCGGCGCTACCGTACGTGACAGGTTAATTGGAGCTACCCCCTGGACAGGGGAGGGAAGGGAGGGAGAGGGGAGGGGAGGGGAAGGGGCGGAAGTGGTACGGAGGGGAGCTGGACGGGAGTGTTTCCGTGCGGAGCAAAGCTGGCAATGTGTGTGGCGTGTGCGTGTGTTGTAAGTTGTAGCTCGACATCGTGCGTAGATGTTCTCTTTTCTCTTTCTCTGTTTTCTTTTGTATGTATTTTGATGTCTATTAGCTGATCTCTCTGCTCTTTTCCTGCTTTTTTTTCTGCTGCTTTCTCTGATCTATCTTATTCGCTGTTACGGTGTTTCTGTAACAAAGATGTAGGTCTGTTCGTACTTCGTTGGGTGGCTCGGAGACTACAATAAACAGCACCTAAACACAGTAGTTGACCATCAACTGATAATAATGACGCCAATCAAATGACATCTTAACTACGTAGCTTGTTTTATCACGAGTGTGCCTACTTAGGCATCTGATTTTCGCTTAGCTTAAGGGTATAGGTATGAAAGGATATGACGTAATTAACGAACACTCAATAAAACCTTTGTTGCCAGTATTCTACGGAAGTGCGGAAATCACAGCTTGCTAATAACAATGGCGTTCAACAACCTCTTTATATCCACATTCTTGCATCATTCTATTTTTTTCCACGAGCAGGCGGCGCTTCCCTGTGAATGAACCCAAACAATGCCGGGCCGTTGACACTGTAGGTCTTTTCAATGACTTCTCTGCTAGCGATAAACACAAAGGAAGGGTGCAGGGGTCGCTTCTCCACAGAGCTCTTAGTGAACTATGAAGGAAGGCACGTATACATCAACTTGTGCAGCAAAAGTATAACAGACTGATCATATTTTCTCAAGCCATCTATTTCATGGTGTGTTGATATGTAGGTTCCAGAAATAAAGATTACATTTTACACCGGATGTAAGTGTGATCAGAAAAGTTGGTAATATCACGCACACTGTTTTGTTGTCATTTGTCCAAAAGTCGGCCTCCATCACACAAATACAGACATAGCTTGATCGTTAGCGTTAGCGTTTATTGTCCGCACCAGGTATCACGTGACCGATCGATGAGTAGTTGTTGCTGCGATGCCCACTGCCACGTGATCGATGCGATGTAGCTACTGGCTCATGTGAAACATTTTTATTTGGTGAGGGAAACGGAACAGATACATGTAAGGTGAAAATTACGTATTTTTGTACAGGCTGGAAAATAGCTATAATTAGTTGGCATAACACTTAATGCGTTTTTTTCTTACCACCATGGTCACAAACAAATCCAATACGGCCAACGCTCATGTATGTTTTTCGAAATAAACGTACTTGTTTTTATTATATCGAACACGGCATACACAAATAAAACAAAGTTCGAATGAAAAATGCACATTAGCCGTTTTCACGACGGACTGTCTGGCGAATGCACCTACTTTGACCAAATGTGCACCGAATCCCTTTTACAGCAAATATCTGTAAATGATTAAATTATTTCATTTTTTTGGTCCATTAAAATGTCTGGTAGTATGACAAAGAAGGCAAATAAGCAATTAACGCAACTCTAGGCTACGCAGAGAAACCTAATTTTTAAGAGAGTTAAGCGTTGTGAGGAAAATCATGATGAATCATCATGATGATTATGACTATGAGCAAATTTGATTGACCGAATCCTCAATATAATCTGAATAAAAAGGACAAATTAGCAAAATTCGGGTATATTCGATCACAGATCTTTGTCAACCCTGCAGTGGGTTGACAAAGATCTGTGATGGAATATACCCGAATTTTGCTAATTTGTCATTTTTATTCAGATTATATTGAGGATTTGGTCAATCAAATATGCTCAGAAACCTAATTTGACCAAATCTACACTAAATCTGACCAAATGTGTACCTACTAAAGGTGTACCAGGTGGCCGTCAAGAAAACTGCTATGTTGTTGTTTATGTCGAAAATGCATATTCCTGTCACGGGAAACTGCTTTACAGAACTTGTTTGGTTTTATTCATTATTCGCTTCAAGATAATTTCTATAAGAACTTATTTTTGCCATTTGAAACATATTTATGCATTTTGAATAGCATGCTGTGTGCCCAGACTGCTTATGCTAGAAGTATAAACAGAACACGTTTTGCATTACAATTTGTTGGTACCTTTTATATAAACTTTTTGCGAGACAGCCAGGAACTGCAGCTGTCATGGCTATTGCTATGCCATGGTATAGCGAAAAGACTTGATCGGAGACGGCTACGCTACATATCTAGCTATGACTCATAGAGGGGGAGACATGGGGAGAGGGGGAGAATAAAGACAGAGGGGAGAGGGCCGGTGAGTCATTGCCGACGTGCGCCGATCAGTGAATGCCAGAGACGGGTATGGTTGCCATGGAAACTACCGCAAACAGACAGATGCGGTCGGAATTGTGCAGCATGTAGCCAAAACTGGCCAAAACCAGACCGAGGGGAAACAGACAAGGGTTTTCTACAGAGTAATAAGCAATGGCATGCATTACTTGGCACTTGATTGCTTTTGGGCCAGGTGGCATAAAGGCAGCTGCAACTAAGCTGCAATTGTTATTCACAGCAGGGTGTTGGAAATGATTGCAAGTGACTAAGCGCGATTTTCAGTGCAATGTGGCTGATGTATAGTTATATTGGTGTTAATGCTTTTAGCATGATTGCTGGTGTCATGAAACAGCCTCACATAATCGCTATAATGCATTTGCCTTTGCGATTATTTTTGGTATGAACTGTAGGGTTAGCGCCGGCAAGC